CTCCCGATGGCAAAAAGCTCACCGAGCTCATCTTCCTAACCCACTGATGCTGACAACAGGCTCCTGGTTTATTCAAAAGGAGAATGACAGCTAATGTGAACATCTCATTCCTTGGGTTGGAGGGGCAGGCAAGGCCAGAAGAGCAAGCAACTGCAAGACACCATGGGCGCTCAGTGGGGTCTCTGCCTTGGGATCCACCTAGTCTTGTTTCAGAGCAGCCCAGGCTGAGGACTGGGCCTTCGTGCATCCGATAAGCAATTGTGGAGCATCTACTGTGTACCATAGATTGTTCTAGAAGCTGGAATGTGGCCGTGAACAAGGCAGGCAAACATCCGTGCCCCTCTGACATTCAAAAGCAGGAGGAGATAGAAATAAATAAATAAGGTATTAATAGCGTTATGGGGGAACAATGGACAACCAAAAGCCTAAGTTGGAGAAGAGAACAGCCTCGCTTAGAGGGGTCCTGGCATACCAGAGCCAGGAGTGAGCCATGAGGTTGCCTGGAAGAGCATGCCAAAGGGAACAGTCAGTGCTAAGGCCCTGAGGTGGCTTGAGGAACGGCACGAAACCCAGGGTCGTGAGGGCAGGGTGTAGGGATGGGTCAGGGAGGAAGCGAGGGACCAAGTGTCCATCTTGGCTATTACCCTCACATCCCGTTCTTGCCCGGGTTCTCCCAAGGCTGGGGAGGAAGCATAGGGACCGGAGGCATCGGAAGGCTCCTCTGGGTGCTGCTTTGCTCACATGTCCAATTCTACGAGGCACTCCAGGGGGGCCTCTCTCTTTCTCCTTTCACATGGCAGACAGCGAGCTGGCCAGATCCTGGAAAGCACAGTACCACGACTGTAGGGCTCCGGTGGCCAAAGTAGCAGGGAGTGGTGGGAGGCAGGTAGGAGGGCAAGCAGCAGGTGCAGGGACAGGCTCCACACCCAGTGCCTGCAGAAAGGGAGGGGGCTGGCAGCTGCTTTTAGCACATCTCTGGGAAAGAGGAAGGCACAGGGAAGGTTCCAGAAATGGCCTGAGCCATCCCTGTGTTACCTGGATCACACTGTGAGCAGCACACGAGTGATGCCAGTGCCTCCTGGTGCTTACTGGTCCCCCACATGTCCCATTCCTGGTCCTCCCACTTGGCCTCGATCTGGCCCTTGCCCAACTCTACCTCCATTTCCCACCTGGGCAGACAGGTGGCAGTAAGACTGGAGGAGAGGGGAGTGTGGTAGAACTTCCTGCTTGGATGTCTCATCACGGTGGTCAGTGTCGCAGCACTGGCTCTGGGGGCTGCCAGGTCGTGGCTAGGCTGCTGTGAGCACAACCACACAGTGCATCCTTCACATTGTCTTCTCTTTTCATCAGGAGCGCAGCCTCCCCAGGCAGACCCCCACTCTACCGCCTGTCTTCTAACAGGTGTCATGCCTACCTTGGAACCATCTGAGCAGCCAGAAGCAGGAATGTAGGGTATTGGGGTGTGGCCTATTCCATTCCCTATGTCCCCAAATGCTGGGTTCATTCTGCAGAGCCATTTGGCCCTCACTTAGGAGCGACACCCTTGCACCCAGAACTGCTGAGCCGGCTGCCCCGGCAAGGCAGGAAGACTCTAGTGCCTGGCTACCAAGGCTTGGGGGGAGGGACAGACACCCAAGACTCCTCACTGTCCAAGGTCATCCGCCCTTGACCTGGATGGAACCATAGGCGTGCTGGGGAAACCAGTGGCTTTGGGACAGCAGGAAGTGCACCCCCCACTTCTCAGGCTGTCAGCTGCCAGAAAGGGCAGTTCATAGGTTGCCCAGTGACCCATCCCCCTAGATGCCAAGCACTGCGCTTTCAGGAGGCCGTGAAACAACGGCTCAAAGTTTGGGTTTTGTGGTCAGTTGGCTTGAGGTCGAATCCCACTTGTTATTTACTGCTTGTTGGCAAGTTTTTCCCTGTAGAAGTCTTGGTTTTGTTCGTTGTTGAATCCAGCCACGCAAGGAATATGGAACACACTATGACCCGATTCCAGGGTATTGGGATCCAATGGACTCAGAAAGTCAGCTCAGTGAAGGAGGCTTTTAATGCAGGGCATAGATTTTATTGGGGTATCTGTGTCATCTCATGCAGGGAGACTTTTTACTGTCAGCTCCACTTCACTGTCATTCCATGCCCGACACTCAGGGGTAAAAAACCAAGTTGGGGTTCTTGGGGGGAAACATCCCTGTGTGCACAATTCCGGCAGTATTCTGCCACCAGGGGGCGGTGCCCAGCAGGTCTGCCTCACAGCCAAGCCCAGCTAAGAGCCCTGGGCTGGATGACGGTCGGGTTTAAGCACCTAGAATTGCCAGGTGTGGGCAGCCGGCCTGGATCCAGGTCTGTACCTTGACATGCTGCGATGGACACAGCAGGGACCCTCCACATCAGCTGGACTTTTTAGCTTGTCTCAGGGTCTGTCACACACAAGTCCATCTAAAGCTAACAGGACGTTCCTTAGATAGTGAACCCAGGCTCACAGAGGTGACCTGGCTGCACAAAGCCACACACTTTCACTGCTATGAGGCCAAGCCAAGACCCCGCCGAGGCCTGCCTGCTGCCACCTCCAGGGACAGAGACAGTGAGGGGGCGGGTGTAAGGAGCCTATTTGGGAAGCCTGGAGCCTAGCTCTTCCCTGCAACCAAGGTGACTTCAGCCCATCTCTTCTCCCACTTCCCCCCAGGAATTGCAGGGACCTGCTTCTGGGGATCTGTGCAAGCGGGGGCCTCTAGGACACAACCAATATGAGTGACTTTCTTGGCATCTTCAGGGCTGACAATCCTTCCCAGAAGTCACGCATCAACTGGCCACGGTCTCACCATCATTTGTACTTGGAGTCTGGGGCAGACCCAGGGCTTGGAGAGCTGTGGTGATGCAGGGGCCCATGGCTATCCTTCTTTCCCCTTGAAGATGCATGAGACACAAGCCATTTGGTCCTCCAGTCCCACTGTCATGCTCCCGGGAAGGCGGGCGAGGCTCTGAGAGAACGTGAACTACTGCAAGGGGTCCTTGACCTTGGCCCCATCTCTGCCACTGCCTGGAGTTTGGAGCTCCTCACAGAGCAACAACGGGCAGGGCATAGGGCTGCTTGTGCTCTGGTACCAACCACGGGGGAGGAAAGAAGGAAAGAGTAAGCACTTCAGAAGCTCAAGAATCCAGGGGTCCGGGGGGCCTGGCTGGCGTGCAGCCAATTGTGAGAAAGCACAAGCAGGGGTCAGCAAGAGCCGCAGCAGGCTCGGTGGGAGGAAGGGTATACCCCACGTGGGGAGGCCTGGGTGCCAAGGCTGTGCTGGTGCCAAGGGCTGTAGGGCAGCACGAGCATGCCCTTAGATCTCAGGACCCAGGAAAGGTGCACGGAGAGCCAGGTGAGCCCAGAAAGGGGTGCCTGGAGGACTTGCCCCTTTCTGATGTTGGATCCCATCTTGGTGGATTTCCTGCAGTCAATCATGCCTGAACATTTCTTGTGTGTGTGAAGCCTTATGTCAAAGTCATTTTCCACCCACGATCTCTTTCTACCTGGAGAAGTTGGCTGGTCCTGGCCCAGGGGGGTGGGGTTAGGTGCTTGACTCTGCTACATCTGCCCAGAGCCCCTCAAGCCCTGAAGTCGCTGTCCCCTGGGGGATGAGGATGGCACGCCAGGCCATGCCTCAGCCCCCTGCACTTTGTCCAGAGCTCAAGGCCACCGTTAAGGGGCCATCTTCAAAGCCTCCCCCCCACCCCAGGGCTCCTGGGCTCTGACTGCCCTCGTGCATTGGGCGGAACAATCGGGTGAGCCTGGTGGAAGGCCAGACCATGATACCCTCCAAACCCCGTCGCCTGTTCACCATGAGGGTAAGGAGGCCCGCCGAGGGAGAGTGATAACTTCCCCAGCTCTCTCTGTGGTGAGGCTGCCTCACCATAACCTCCGTTATCATTGTTATCAGCAAGCATGGCCAGCAGAACCTTTAGAGCCTGCGCGCTGTGCTTGAATTCCTCCGGGCCTGGCAGTGGCTTCAGCACTGATGTGGTCTGCATTTCTCAGGTCACAGAAGAGGAAGCATGCACGCAGCAGGACCCCTGGCGTGGGCTGACTTCAGATTGCCCCCAGATGCCAGGACTGTTCAAATCCGAGGCTTCCATCCTCGGTCGCTGCTTCGGGAAAGCTCATCCTCTCGGGCAGCCTCAGTTTCCCTACCTCGCACATCCTCGCTTCGCTGTCCCAGCTGCTGAGGCCGTGCATGTGGGGGTCGCCCATGAGGAGCTGCAGAAGGACAACGTGCAGAGGAGACGGTGGGCGCTGCAGGACAGCAGGCCCTGAGGCTGCTCTGCGAAGGGCGAAGCGCGCGGGGATCGGGGAGGGGGGCACGTGCTTGGGTGCAGGAGCCCTGCAGGCGCGGGTCCTCTAGGGGCGGAGACAAGAGCAGCGTCCCTATCGCAGCAGTGGCTGGGCGGTGGTCCCGGGGAGGCGAGTGGTGGGCCCGAGGAGGGGATGGAGCTGGCAGGGGGGGTGGAGGAGGAGAGCACGTGGACCAAAGAGGCGGCGGGCAGCCCCGCTGTTTTGAAAAATGCTTCCTGTTTCTTTAAAGGCGCTCGCGGCTCGGGCGGCCGGGGCCGGGGAGGCGACGGCGGCGGCAGGAGCTGCCTCCTCTCCGGACGGCGGCGCTGACTGATCTGGCGAACTGGGCTTCTGTGTAAACTGAGGCTAAACAAACACAGATGGAGCGCAGCGGGCGTTCTCCGGCGGGGCTGGCGCGGCCGCAGCGACTTGAGATGACACACTGAGCGCTCCAAGAGCGGACGGTCCCGCGTCTACCCCGAGCCGGCGGCGCAGCTGCCCCGGGGCGCAGGGGGAGAGAGGGCGCGCCGGCGGGAGCGCGGGCGGCCGGAGGGGGAGCGCCCGAGACTCGGCGGCGCTGAGCGCGGCGGCAGCCCGGGCCGAGCCGGCGCGCGGCGTGCAGAGCGAGCGCAGCCGGCGCGCCACCCGCCGCCCCACGCCCCTGCCCCGCGCGCTTGCCCGCGCCATGAAGCACATCCCGGTCCTCGAGGACGGGCCCTGGAAGACCGTGTGCGTGAAGGAGCTGAACGGCCTCAGGAAGCTCAAACGCAAAGGCAAAGAGCCGGCGCGGCGCGCGAACGGCTATAAAACTTTCCGATTGGACTTGGAGGCGCCCAAGCCCGCCGCCGCCGTCGCCGTCGCCGCCACCGCCACCGCCACCAACGGGCTGCGGGACAGGACCCAGCGGCTGCAACCCGTCCCCGTCTTAGCCCCGGTGCCAGCCGCTGTGGCGCCGGCCGTTCCCCCAGGTGGAGGCGCGGACGCAGCCGGGGAGCGCAGGGGCGCCCGCGCGCCGGAGGTCTCGGAAGCGCGGAAACGCGGCTTCGCTCTGGGCGCAGTGGGACCGGGACTCCCTACGCCACCGCCGCCGCCACCGCCTCCTCCAGCACCCCTAGGCCAGGCACCCGGAGGTTCCGAGGTCCCATCTTTCCGCGAACCTGTCCTGCGTCCCCGCATCTTGCTTTGCGCGCCGCCGGCACGCCCCGCGCCCCCTGCACCCCCGGAGCCCTCCGTGCGCCCCGCGCCCCCCACGCGCCCCGGGGAAAGTTCCTACTCGTCAATTTCACACGTAATTTACAATAACCACCCGGATGCCTCATCGTCGCCTAGGAAACGGCCGGGTGAAGCGACCTCAACCTCCTCGGAGATCAAAGCCCTACAGCAGACCCGCAGACTCCTTGCGAACGCCAGGGAGCGGACGCGGGTGCACACCATCAGCGCAGCCTTCGAGGCGCTCAGGAAGCAGGTAGCGGCTCCCTGCTCACCCTTCCCAGTGTGTGGGGATGCGCGGTCCAGCGGGTGGCTGGGCGACCCAGCTTGGCAAGCCCGGGGTAAGAGGTCCATATGTGGGGGCTGCGTCTGCGCTGCCCCCATGTCTTCTTGCCGTCCTTCACCCCCAACCCAGCCCTGGAGTACGAGCCTGTTGGCGCTTGGGATTCTAGCCCTTGTTCACTTTTCTGGTGGGGAATATCTGCCTCCCGGAGTCCCACGGTGCCTTGGGGAGCAGAGAGGAGAATGTGGGAATCCACCTCAGAGCGCGTACTGGTTGGCGTGGCTGAGGGTCTTGGTGCCACTGCTGGTGCTGTTGAGACCAGGAACAGTGTGAAGCAGGGTGTGGGAGTTCTAGACTGGGTGGGGTGAGGGCAGAGGAAGGGGGAGCCTGGTAGTCCTTCTTTAGCCCTAGCTTCCCTAGTGGGGGTGCGGGGCGTGTCCATGCTGCTTGTGGGCTGTGGACCCCGGGGGAGGGGGGTGCTGGTGGGTCGCTTCTCCTGGGGATCTGAGAGCAGGCAGCATGCTTTAGGGGTGCGGGAATCTTCCCTGCATCGCTCTGCACTGAGTGGGCCTCACTGTGTGACCAAATAGTACGCTGTGGGGGCGGGGAGAGGAGAAGCACTTAACCCAAGAACCGCCCACGGGAAGGAGTGGCAGGTCACAGTGCCACAGGCTGGCACCACCTCATGCTTCTAGGCTTCTCATTTTATTAGAAGGGAGCCCAAGGCTGGTGAGTGCCCACATCCTACTAAGGGAATGCAGCAGGGATGGGAGGGGGTGCTGGTGTAGAGAGTGAGTTGTATTTATTTATTTATTTTGAATGCTCAGCCACTGACTTGCTGTGTGACTCCAGGAAATTTACTGTACCACTCCAGGCATTAGCCACCAACATACTGTGAAATGAGGGCTCTCCCTGGGTCACTCTTTCTCTGTGAGAGTAGTGTGGGGGCACTGGTGTCTGTGTCCATTGGACCCCTGGAAGGGAAAAAAAAAACATGTGTCTTGCTTGGGTTTGGGGAACAGAGGTTGGGGCCGGATGGCCGTGACAGTCCAGACTGGGCCAGTGTTTGCAGCCACACCAGCTGGGGTCCTGGGCAGTGGGCCCAGAGGAGCAGTCGACCCCATCCTGGGCCAGCAGCTCTGGGAGTGTTGGGGTTGGGGAGGTGCCCTGCAGCCCGCTCAGTGACCCGGAAGGCAGAGAAACACGCCTGCACCTGTTTGCCTTGCACCTAAGGAAGCCCCTTCCAGCTTGGGAAGCCACGTGCCCACGGCTGCCCGGCTGGTGAGTCACAGGGCAGGGCTGGCTCCAAGGTCCTTTTAGTGCCAGTCTGGGGCCCTCTCTGTCCCTCCAGCTGCCCCTCTCCTTGCCAAGGGAGTGAATCCTCAGGGCTCTACGTGCTCTGACACATCTCATATGTCCAGTGGTTTTCTACTCTTTCCCACGAGAAATCCCATCTTAACGGATTGGTACCACAATGTGGCCAGGATCAGATCTGTCCATTTCATGGGCTAGAAAGCTGAGGCCACAGAGGAGAGAGATTCGTGCATGACAACCTGGCAGGGTAGGGAAGATGACAGAGGTTTCCAGAACATCTGCTTGACCCATTGTCCTCCGCTGTTGTCCGGGCCGGCCTGCTGGGCTGCCTCCTCACCCTCAGGTATCTGTGTTAACAGAGGCAGTGTGTGCACTTGACAGGCTCTGCAAGTTGGGAAAGGGTCTCCCTTCACTCCTGCCATGAGAGACAAGGAGGCACAAAGCCAGCTCTGCCAGGGAGCGAGTGTGTGTGCCCACACAGACAGGTGCATGGCCCTCCTGCGTGCGCCTGACAGCAGGCGGAAGGACCTGCTCCTGCCTGCCTCCTCTTGCCTCTGCCCTTCCTGACCCTTCCCTGGAAAGGCTGCGAGGTCTGAGCGGATACCTGCCTGTAGTTGAGAAGGAAGGAAATAGAGGCTGTGCACTTGTGATCACACGGCCAAGGTCAAGACCACATTGCACTGGTCTGATGGTGAGCATCCTGTGTGGCAACCCAGTACCCTAGTCTCCACCTGTGTGATTCACCCCACTGTCCCGTCCCAGGCCAGATGGGCTCAGGGCTGCCTTCCTGAGTGAGCCCTCTAGAAGCAGGAAGGGGACAGGGAGGGGAGACGTGGAGCCTTCCTGATACAGGACCCTGGTGACCTCAGTGACGCTAAGCCTGGTGGTGGCAGTGGGGCTCTGGTCTGAGGCACTGCTCTGGGCAGCTTCCTGGCATGGGGAGTTCTGACCCGCTTTCCCTCTCTGGGCTTCTGTTGCTACAACTCAAGTGGAACTCTTGCTGACCTCGTCAATGGCTTTTTTTTTATAAGATTTATTTTATTATTTTTTATTGGAAAGTCAGATATACAGGGAGGAGGAGAGACAGAGAGGAAGATCTTTTGTCCAATGATTCACTCCCCAAGTGAGCGCAACGGCTGATACTATGCTGATCCGAAGTCAGGAGCCTCTTCCGGGTCTCCCACGCGGTGCAGGATCCCAAAGCCTTGGGCCGTCCTCGACTGCTTTCCCAGGCCACAAGCAGGGAGCTGGATGGGAAGTGGGGGCGCCGGGATAGAACCGGCACCCATATGGGATCCCGGGTGTGCAAGGCGAGGACCTTAACCGCTGCGCCACCGTGCTGGGCCCATCAATGGTTTTTTTGGCAGAGAGCACTTGGAAAGATGCAGTGACAAATCTTTTTCAAGATTCATTCATTTATTCATTTGAAAGGTAGGGGGAGACTCCAATTTACTGTTTCACTCATCAAAATAGCTACAACTCGCAGGACTGGGCCAGAAGCCAGGTACTGCATCCTGGTCTCCCACACGGGTGGCAGGGACCCAAGGCTTTGGACTGTCCTTCACTGCCAGCACTGACATGGTAGCAGGAAGCCGGATTAGAAGTGGAGCAGCCTGAACTCCAGACAGCACTCTGATACAGGCTGCCAGCACCACAAACAGTGGCTTAACACACTGTGCCACAATCCCGGCTGTTAGAAGAAGGCTTTATTCGTTTTAATAACACTGATTAAACTGCTGTTCACCTGGTTCTGTCCTTGTGCCAGGCGGCATGCTAACGCCCGTTGCTTGTGTTAGTTCACATAGTGACTTGGGCACGCTTCTCATGTCCGTATTTTACACTTGGGCCTAGAGAGTTTGTCTAACTTGGCTGAGGTCATGCAGCCCTTTGCCATGCACATGGCCGCACCACTGTCACATGTTCTTCATCAGGCTGCGCTGTGGCAGCTCCTGCAGAGCTGTGGCCGCTGTCACCGCACCGCTTGGATTTGTGTCAGGCCTGCTTACAGTGTTGTTGGCAGACACCGGAGCCCTTCACAACTCGGCCCTGCAACCTGCCTGAGGCCTTGGAGCTGTCCACTCTGAGCGTGAGGAAGCCAGCCGGATCTTGTCCACCACAAGGAGATTGGTCGGGAGATGGGGGAAGAGGGAGGGATACCACAGGCAGGGGAGAGGCGCTCTGGTCGGCGGGCAGGGGCATTCAGGGCTGTCCAGGGCAGATGGCCAGGCTGCAACACATGCTACCAGCCCCAGCTGTACCTGAGGCCCCTGCGCTACTGCTTCATGTGCACAACTGGGCCTGGCCTGGCTGTGTGTGGGGCACCGAGGGAAAGTGGATCCTTGTTGGAGGCTAACCTGGAGTTGGGGGGAGGAATGTGGGCCTTGAGAGTGGGAGCCTGTGTCCCCACCAAGCTGTGTCACAGTGAGCAGGAATGGCGAAGGCTCCCAGCACCTGCTGAAGTGGCTTTTCCCTGGTGCACATCCAGGCCACTTCCCCTGCTGTCCCACCTCAGTTAGTGGACTGAGGTGCTCAGTGGTGGAGGGGGTTGGAGGAGGACATGGTGCTCCCCAGCTGAGCTACCTCCTTCTCTCCCAGATCTCATGGGGACAGAAGGGAGACTCAGCGGACCTCCTCAAGCAGTGCAGAGGGGGCCTGCACATGGGCAGGGGGAGGCTACAGAGGGGGTGTGTGTTGTACCTCGGGGTGTCACTTGCTGCTTTGCCTGCATCTGTGGCTGTGCATCTCAAGTGCTGCCTCCCCGAGTCCCAGATGAGCAGACTTATGGATGATTAAGCACATCCCGCGGGGTCACAGGGCAACAGGCTCTTGTCACTCGCTGTGTAGGGAGCTTTGAGTTTAAATAGACTGTACCCAGCACCTTGCCCTGCCCTGCCCCTCCTTGCCTTACAAGAGCAGCTTTGCTGGGAACCCAGCGCTCAGCCTCCCCAGGTGACTGGTGAGTAGGCACAAACAGGGGTCTGTGCCCAGCTATGTGCAGTGACCAGGGCTGCTGCAGCCAGGAAGGACTCTAGGCTTCCATGAGTGCACCGTGTAGAGCGGGCAGGAGCTGGAGGGTGTGTGCGTGGTAGGGGGTGGAGGGTGAATCGTGGGCTCTCCTGCAAGCCCTGGTGGGCTCCTGGCTTTGCTTCTCTGTGCTGCTTCCCCACATTGGCCCATCTTTCCTTTCACAGATATTCTGATGCCCATTTTACTGATGGAGAACTAAGGTCCTGTAGGAGTGGCTCATAGTAGAGCCAGGCCTTTGGGCTCTTGGGCCAGGGTCCTTCTTCTATTTGCCGCTGTTGACTGGGGTCAGGAGAGAGTCCAGCTTGGGAGCATATGGGACATTTGAAAATGCTAATGCATGCACCTCTGGCCTTTACATATTCCTGTGGCATGAGCAAGAGACAAGCTACTGCCTTTCTGATAGTTGGGTGTGTGATGGCCGGGGGGGGGGGGCGGTTAGGTGGTCCTGCCCTTTTCTGTGACCTCTGTCTTTTGACTGTGGCAGACGACAGGTGACCGTGGCCTGGCAGGGGTGGGCACAGACATTAGAGTGGGTGGATGGACTCTGGGTGTTCCTGGGATGCTCTCCCGTGGTTGACCTTGACCTCATCTTGCTCTATAGTTGAGCTGCCACACTGTATCCCAAGGCTGCATCCCCTCCCTATGCAGAATCATCCCAGCCCCACTGGAAACTCAGCCATTCTGGGCCCCTCTCTGGGCAACAGGGGTGCTCTGGGCTGTGTCACAAGGCTGGAACCAGGCCCCAGGGGTCCTTAGCTCTCCCCTGCCCCCACTCTAGGGGTGAGGAGCAGGCAGAAGTGCAGGCGGTTGTTTATTTGTTCGGGCTGATAAAACAGGATTCTCTGGGCTGTGCTTGACAATAAACAAGGCGTGCTGACATGCTGTCCTGCCAGCGTTTTCTTGCATGGCTTTGGAACTGTGGTCAGGGGCTGGGAGTGAAAGGTAGCGGCTTGGACCGGCAAGGGAGCTGGCTTGCTCTGTCACCTCCTCACCCTCCTTAGTTCAGGCAGTGTCCCAGTTCTGGAGCCTCCTTGGGGACCCTCTGCAGCAGCCAGGGTAGGGGTTTCCCTGACCTCCAGCAGGTTTTATTGACTCTGTGTCATGCATGTATTTCATTGCATTCTCACTGCTCTGTGAGCAGTGGGACGGGAAACAGAGGTGCAGGGAGATTTTGTTGCCTGCCTGGGCTCTGGTAGCTAGGCGGGGACCTGAGCCAGGAGTTGAACCCAGGTGACTGACAGACACATGTGCACTTTGGCTGGGTGCCAAGCAGCTGGATCTGCATCCTCAGAGAGAGAGAAGCGGGGGAGGTGTGCAGCTGAGGTCAGTACAGATGCTGGAGTCACAGGAGCATGGGGAGAGCACGTGTTTAGTTGTCCCGATTCCCTTGTCCTGTCAACCCTTTGGAGGGCTTGTGCAGGTGGGACCTGCACCAGGCTCATTCACCTGGACCCTCTCCCAGGGAATCACGCCGATACAGACTGCTGAATGAGCCCCAGTGACGGGGAGTACAGGACGGATGGGCATTCGGGGAATGCTCTTGGACAAAGGGAGATGGTTTTTAAAGTTTTCTTAGATTTTCCGTATCTATTTATTTGAAAATCAGTCACACACACATACATGTATACATGCCCCTTCCATCCACGGATTCCCTTCCCATCTAAGTTCTGACCAGGCCTGACCCTGCTTAGCTTCCGAGATCAGACGAGATCGGGCGCATTCAGGGTGGTATGGCCGTAGACTCCCTTCCCAAATAGTGATTTATGGCCACGTCAGGGTCAGACTGAAGCCAGGAGCTCAAAATTCCACCCAGATTTCCCACACGGGTGGCAGGGTGAGGGAGCCCCAAGCCCTTGGGAACTCCTCCACTGCCTGTGCAGGCACATGATCTGGAAGCTGGCTTGGAAGCAGAGCAGCTAGTAGCCACACTGGGTGGCACTCTGAGCTGCTGGCACTGCAAATAGTGGCTTCACTGGCTGCATTAGTTAAAAGCGTTAAAAGTCGGTGATGCATTGGTGGTTCCCAACCTGAGGTGGTTTTCTCACCTGTGCTTTATCCCAGAGTCTAGATTGGGGGTTTTCTTCCTTGGGACAGTGATCATTTGGGACCAAGTCATTTTTAGTTGTAGGGCCAGTGGGGCATCCTGTGTGTTGTAGGATGTTTGGCAGCTCCCAAGCCTCTGTGCTCCCAGCTCTCCCAGCTCCTTGCAGTGTCAAGAATATCTACAGGGACTGGCATGATGGCTCAACAGGTTAATCCTCCTTCTGCAAGCACCTGTATCCCATGTGGGTGCTGGTTCATGTCTTGGTTGTTCCACTTTCCATCCAGCTTTTTGCTTTTGGCCTGGGAAAAAAGCAGCAAAGGGTAGCTCAAGTCCTTGAGACCCTGCACCCACATGGGAAGCTGGGAAGATGCTCTTTGCTCGCAGCTTCAGATCAGCTCAGCTCTGGCCTTTGCAATTACTTGGGTAGTGAACCAGCAGATGGAAGATCTTTCTTTGTTTCTTCCCTCTCTTCCTGTAAAAAATTGCCTTCCAAAAAAGTAAATAAATAATAAAACACACACACACAAAGAAAACAAAGACAACAAAGGAAAGGAATAACTACAGATGTTGTCAGCTCTTCCTTCAGCAACAGCTTTGTCTCTAGTTGATAGCCCCTGGCATGAGGGGAGCATCTGCTCTGTGCTGGCACTGTGGGAAGGTCCAGGTTGCCCAGGAAGCCACATAGAGATCCTGAAGTCCCCAGAGAGGAGGGAGCTAGAGCCAGGCTTGCTTGTGGAGTGTCACAACCATGTGGGGAAAGCACACATCATCGCAGGAATGTCAGGGACTCTTGCTTAATGCCTACGGCTGCCTCTGCTGGACACAGTTCCCCGCCAGCACCCAGAGGGCTGGCCACGTGGGCTGCGGTCCTCATTGCCTCTGACTCACATGCATAGACAGTGGTGGAGAATGTTAACCATCAAAGGCTGTGTCTTTTGACTCCACCAAATCCCTTTGCAGTTAGCAAGTATCAGCTTGGTGATGAGTCAGTGACCGTGAGGCCAAGTCCGATGGGGGCTCTGCTTATTGTGTGTCTGCTGTAGGTCTGGCAGCGCCCAGCTCTGGAGGGCACAGAAGCAGCCAACAAGAAAGAAAGACAAGACACAGCATGTCTGTGTCTTTTCACTTGAGCCTGGGTTGCTTCCCCCTGGATGTCCTCCAGAGTCTCAGGTACCTGTCTCTGTTACCGTTTTAAGACTTCCATTTATTTTTTGCTTTATTTGAAAGACAGAAAAAATTGACATAGCATCAGAGATTTTTTTAAAAAGGGTATTAGCTATCTGTTTGCTTAGGATGTGTCTACTCTGGGAGGGTGGAGGAGTTATCATAATGGAGATTCAGTGTTTTTTTATTCAAATACTTTATTTTTATTGGAAAAAAAGATTTACAGAGAGAAGGAGAGATAGAAAGAAAAAGATCTTCTATGCAGAAGATTCATTGGTTCATTCCCCAAATGGCCACAACAGCCAGAGCTGAGTCAATCCAAAGGCAAGAATTTTTCCAGGTCTCCCATGCTGGTGCAAGGTCCCAAGGCTTTAGGTCATTCTCCAGTGCTTTGCTAGGCTACAGGCAGGGAGCTGGATGGGAAGTGGAGCAGCCGGGCCATGAACCAGTGCCCATATGGGATGCTGGTGCTTGCAAAAAGGAGGAATAACCTGTTGAGTCATCATGCTGGACGGCCCCTCCTCCCCCAGACACATACATGCCAAGATTCAGTGTTTTGATCCAAACTGAGTCACAGGCATGCACTGAGCCCCAATGTCTTCCTCGGCATAATGGGAGTGTAAATATGCTTCAGCGTGTATGTGTGTTTATCTGTGTGTGTGTATGTGAACAGCAGGTGCTTAGCACAGATTAAAATAAAATTTGGTAGAACACCCCAGCCCAGAAACACCCCAGGCCTCCTCACTCACCCACTCTTGCTACACCTGCTGACAGAGGCATGTGCCCACAGAAGCCTCCCCACAGCCCTCCTGACACCTTCTCCCCTCCTCTGCAGGTGCCATGCTACTCCTACGGGCAGAAGCTATCCAAGTTGGCCATCCTGAGGATCGCCTGTAACTACATCCTGTCCCTGGCGCGGCTGGCTGACCTGGACTACAGCGCAGACCATAGCAACCTTAGCTTCTCCGAGTGTGTGCAGCGCTGCACCCGCACCCTGCAGGCTGAGGGACGCGCCAAGAAACGCAAGGTACTCAGCTGCCATTGCTGTCACAGGGGTAGTGGTCTCCGGGGAGGACAGGCGAGGCAGGGCAAGGAGCTTGGGGGACACGCTGCCTGGGCCTGGGATTCCAAAGGGATGCGGGTCTCCTTGCATGCCTGGAATTGTGGGAGGGATCCTGCCTGGGTTATGAAGCTGCTGGGTCTCTGGGTCTTGGCTCTGCTTGGCAATTCAATGAAACCCTTCCTGATCTTGTGGGCTTCAGTGCTGAGCTTCCTGCATGGCCCTGATGAGTGTCCAATCAGGTCAGCTTGGGAGAGCCCATCAGCAGGCTTGGGAAAGGTGACTTAGTTGAAGTCGCATCCTGAAGCTGTGTATTAAGGTGGGTGATCGGCATCGTTTTGTTCACTTGTTCATCCTTTCCTCCTAGAGCGATTGTCTAAGCTCTAAGCATACACCAAGCAATCCAGGCAGGGGCATAAAGACCACAAGCCAGATTCTGGGTGCCATGCTCACAAACTGGTCAGGGAGATGCTTGTGCAGGTCGATGAAGGTGGGACAGACCGGCTTGTGCTGTGGAGGGGTGAGGCAAGGGCAGGAGCAGGCCCGGTGCGTTAGGGACAGAGCAGCTGCTGAGTGAAAGGGCATCTCAGGCTGTGGAGTTTGCACTGGAGCCAGGGGAACAGCTGGGAGACACCAGCAGGCAGGTGAGGCAGGGCTGAAGGAAAGAGGTTCTGCCCAGTCTGATGTGTGTGCAGGGGCAAGGGAATGGGCATGGCTGCTGCTTTGGATGTTTCTGGTCTGGGCTCAATGCAGCCTTCTGGAGTAGCAGGAAGGAGACAGACCCAGCATGAATGGGGCCTGTCTGTGAGCAGAAGCAGCAGCCTGCCCTGTATGTTCAGAACCAGCTGGCATCCTATGCATAGCCCTCCTGCTGTCTTTTTCCTTCCTGATCTTTCTGGTCCTCTCTTACCTCTGACTGCCCTCCCCCCCCCCTCCGCCCCGCAGGCCTCTCTGGAGGCTCTGCAGTTCTCCCAGGCTCCCCTCCCCAGAGCCTTGGGCAGGGAGGCCCTCTGTGGGGGCCCCAGACCATCACCAAGGAGGACCTCCTCACCAGCAGCAGCCCCCCGCCCTGTGGTGGGGACAGTGGCTCCATCGGCTGTGGCAGGCAGTAATTCCGCTTTGCATTCCTGGAAGTGATTTAATGCGGACCAATTAGATGAACTTCTCATCAAGAGAGTGAGAGAGGAAGCGCCCCTGCCTGCTCCGGCCCCCCTCCCATCCTCTGGGGAGTGACGCCCGCCTGGGTAAATTAAGGGCATGATTGATGGCTCCATGCGGCGCACACTATGACAAAGGGGATTTGTAAACTCTCCATGAACTTCCCCTGGCATTCTGCCCTGTCTGTCCTTCAGTCCCTCTGTCAGTCAGTCCAGGCTGTGGATGGGCAGCAGAGGGGTAGGCGCCCTCCATTTCTGCCCCCGCCTGTCCCCCTTTTCCCACCCACTGAAGGCAGACCATGGAATCCTTGATTGGGGCAGACAGTGTCATGAGCTGGGGACCTGGGAGAGGAGAGCAGAACTGAGCGTTGGCTTTCCCTGAGATGCTCTAAAACCTCAGCCCCTTGAAGCCTTTTCTGTCCCAGGGTCTGGTCCAGCCTGCCCAATGCACAGGTTGGGAGATTGAAGTGCTGGATGGTGGTTAAAGCGCATCAGAAACCCCAGCCCTGGGTTTGAATGAGTGGGGCGCCCTGAGTTTGAATGAGTGGGGTGCACAAGGCATGCAGGTGGTCTGAACTCACTCCTCCTGTGGGGCCGGCTAAGCCCGTGACGTAGCCTCGGAGGGGAATCTTGGGCTGCAGTGGACAGTGCAGGATGGGAACACAGGTGTGTCCTGTCTAACCTGCCTCCGTCTTGACTTCTCTTCCCCCCATCTGCCTGCTTGCCCCCGTACCCTAGTTCAGGCCTGGGGTCTTGCTTGTCCCCTGCCCTCAGTCTTGGAGGCCACCCAGCTGGGATGTAGGAGTGATCCTTGCCTTGATTACCCGTATGGTTCGGCATACTCAAATCCAGTCCGCACCAGTGGCACACTTCCCGCTTGGGTGGACTCTGGAGTCACAGGGAGCAACATGTTCAACTCCAGCCCTTCACAGCCCAGGCCCTATCCCTTCTCAGTAGGACCAGTGCAGCCTTTTCTAGGTGTGGCTCCAGGGGCATCCCAGGAACCAAAACTTTTGTCCACAGGCCCCCAAGCCATTCCCTCTGGGTTCTTGGATTCTTGGCCATGAATTGTCATCCTGTGGAGCCCTCCTTCCCTGCTCCCTCTGTGAGCCTGGCATGTGGAGGCAGCATAGGTGCACTGTTGCTCCCCACCCTGTCCAGCCAGCCAGCAGCACCTGTGAAGGGGTGAGCCAGGAGCAGCCAGGAAGAACGCTGGCTCCCCTCATGAGTCTGCAGCCTTGAGGGCAACACCGGAGCACAGGGAATCTGCTGCAGTGAGAGAGTGAGGTCAGGAACCTGGTCTGCGGGAGGCCAGTGTGGTCCTTCCTGGCTCAGGAAGCAGGTGAGTGGGTCTGGATTAGCAGGATGTGTGTGTCGGGAAGGGAAGCTCCATGCCATTTGCCATTGGTGTTGCCTAAGAGGAGACCCCAGGATCGGGAGCTTGGGGGTCCACTTTGATTTTGACTGGTGTGAGAGGGATACACTTTCTCTTTAGTCTGTGTTCCCGTGACTGCTGGCTGTTGTGTCCTTCCTGGCTGTTGGGTGCTAAGGTCCTTTCTTGTTCTTTTGGGAGATGAGGTGACCCCCAGAGCCTACTTGATCATCAGGTCCTTTTTCCCTGGACCTGGACCTACTCCATATCTGTAGTCTTAGAGGCCAGTCTTATAAAGCAATTCTGGATGGGTGTGTGACAGCTTGGCATTCCCCCTCCCCCATTCCAGTTTGCTTTTTGTTGCTTGTATAGAGTGGGTAACATAGAAAGAAGGCAGGTTGGTTTGGGCCCACGCTTGTACAGAGCGGCAAATCCAAGGACATGGCCCTGGCCCTGGCGAGGACCTTCACACTGCATCATGACACAGCAGACGGCATCCCATGCTGAGGCAGTGCAAGGAGCCAGCTTTCGCCCTTCTTCCTGTAAAGCTCCCCCATGCTGTGGAGGCCTCACGCCCCTGATCATGCTGCTCCTAATGCCCTCTGAACACCATTAACACGTGAATGTGGGGACCAAGGTTTCTGCACTGAACTTTGAGGGAATGCAGTTAACCTCTAACTCTGTGACCTTGACCAGGGATGGAAGTTACAGGCAGAAGGAGTGACTCCGGCCGTGCACCTGTCAGATAGCCTTACAGGAGGCTGAGGAGCCACAGTCTGCGACCTGAAGGCTGCTGAGCTGTGGGCAGGTGTCCGCCATAGCAACTGTGGAGCTGCGAAGCTCACGGCTTTTGCCACTGGGACTCAGGATGACTTGAGCTGTTTGCAGGTACCCAGGGAGGCTGGTTGTTCCTCCTGCAGGGTGCTTTGCTAAGATATGGAACTCAGTTTCTGATGAGCTGCCCTGTCCCTCCGGGTCTGAGTTAAGAGCAGAATCACAGGTGAGCTTGTTTCATGGCCAGGTGCATCCTTTGAGGCTGGGATGAGGGGACCCACATCTTTAGATCAGGCAGTTCTCCTTTTCTGGGCCTCCCAGGCCGTGTTGTAGAGGGTTCAGAGCCCTCCTGGGAAGCCCCCCATGGGACCAAGCCCATGTCAGAGGCCACCTCGCAGAAAGACAGAGTAGAAGGAATGGACAGCTCTGGGGGGCGTTGAGCCCTGACTCCAGCTGCAGCTGAAGATAAAGTGTGCATTAAGCACCTGGCTCTGAGCCATGTCTCTGCAGCTCCTGTTTCTGGGAGCTTCTGAGGACGATGAGGAGGAGGGAAGAGAGGAAGAGGAGGAGGCAGAACTGTTCTTGCACACCTGGATGGAGTGGGTCCCAGACTCTGAACACCTTGCACACCTGGGCTGGACCTGCAGAACAGAAAGGAGCCCTCACAGTGTAGGGCATCACTGAGTAATAACAGCAGTGGCCTGAGCCTGGGCCAGTAGAACCATGCGTGAGTCCTGCCCTCAGGTGGTTCATGGATGCCAGGCTGGGGCATGGCCCAGAGGCTCAGGCAGCAAGGGAGGCCCCAGGAGTGGGTGCCTGCAGCCACCTGGGTGTTTTGAAAGTTGCTACAGAGATCAGAGTGCCCTAGAGTCCAGATGGCATGTGACCATCAGGGAACAGGGGTCACATGCCAAGTTTGGACTTGGTGCTTTCAATGGCAGCATCGACCCCTCGCACCAACCCATCCCACCTGGTCAGAACTGGTGTGGTTCTGAACCATGAAGCCCAGACTCTGAGAGCCTGGGAAACCTGTCTGTGACCACCTGGCTAGCAAGAGAGCTGTGCTTGTCACCTCTCACTGGCCTGTCCTCTTGTAGGTGGGCTAGCGGGTTGGAGGGGCTTCTTGTTTCCCCAACCTCTGGGCCAAGTCACGGAGTTCAAAGCCATTTGCTTTCAGAGCCCATAGAATCCATCTTACACTGGGCAAGGAGGGAAAGAGGCAGGGAGTGGGGCAGGGATGGGAAATCACCATTAAATTTCCTTTGAGTTATAAAAATGGCTGCGATTTATTTATTTATTTATTTCTGGCATTCCAATGACACAGACGTTTGTTGCCAGCTGTTTGTTCGAACATGGAGAGTGCTCGCTCAGCTGCTATTTCTCCTCTCACATTTGACACTGGAAGGCCCAGTGTCTGGCAGGGGCAAAGTGAGCTGGGGAGGATCATTAGTGGGGCAGTTCCCAGGTGGGCTGAGCTGGTGGTCCCCTCAGGGTGACATGGGGGTTTTCTGTGTCCGCTTCCTTTTTCAGATTGCTCTCCCCACACCCTGACAGGTGCTCACACGTCCCCACCCTTCCTTGGCCACACATTGGGGAACGCCTGCAAGTGTGGGCCTTGTACACAATGAGCAAGAGCTGAACTTTCATGCTCAGAGAAGACAGTGACATGGACAGCCCCTTCTGACTGCCTCAGGAAGGCTGAGCAGCTCCCCCAACCCCGGCCCCCTGCATCTTGTCTTTGCACCAAGACCCCCTACCCACCCAAGTTTGGAAACACCTGCAGGGGCACAGCAAGCACCAACCCCTGAGAACAGTGTCATAGCTTGATTGGAAGCCCAGGATGGCACGGCTCAGCCAAGGTCTGAGCCACAGTGAGTGAGTGGCTGAGCAGCCCCTTGGGCAGACAAGGACTCAGGCTTCTGCCCTTGACCCCTTGACCACTGCAGCTTAAACCCTGGCTCCTGCACCATCAGTTGGGACCAACATGTGACCTGTGCTGCAGCCCCTGCTTTCCAAGCATGTGAGTTCTCCTAAAGCTTGCCTCACCCCAGGTTGTAAAATGGTACTGATAAGTAGGGACCCCTCCCTCAACCAAGCAGTCATATCAACTACATGGTGAGCACCATGTGTACCTCACCCACCTATCCTATCCTTCAAGGACTGCCTCCTGTGTTAGAGGAGAAACGGAGGCAGGAGATGGGCTGTCACTTGGCCGGCACCATACAGCTGGGGTGTGGCAGGGCCCCTTTCATCTCTTGGGTTCCAAATTCCGAGCTCTTCAGCTCCCTGGGGCCTGCTTGCCCCCTGCAGTTCACACATGGCCCGGCACAGTGGTGGCCTGTGCCTGGGGACAGTGTGGGGCTCCTAGATGCCCAGTGTGGTGTCCCTTGCCTAGAGCACCAGCTCTTGCATAAGTAGCATGCAGAGGCTTCATTTAGCCATGGGGAGCCAGGAGCCTGCTGCTGCTGCTGCTGCTGGTGAGGGACCAGGCAGGGCTGGGGGCAGTATGGGGGAGGCATCATCAACTCTGAGCACCACCCCCAGGGAGGGCAGCACCACCAGCAAAGCCTGCCACCGGGTGAAGTCGCCTGGCAGCCTGGGACTGCAGCTGGGGAGCACGCCTGGTTCCCATTGGGGCGCTGTGGTTTTGATTAGCTGAGCTGCTGGAGCAGCTCGGGCGGGCCTGCCTGCCTGCCTGCCTGCGGTGAGGCCCTGGGAACAGCGGGTCCCCCTCCCCCGCCCTTCTCTGCCCCCCCTCCTGGCAGCCCCAGACTCCAGATGTTCCGAGCGCTCGCTGGGAAGGCCTGCTGGCGCCACGGAGGGCAGAGGGCAGGGAAAGCACGCGAGCTGGAAGCCCGAGCACTCAGTCACCGCAGGCCTTGGCAGCCTGCCCGGCCCTCTACTGGCACATTCCCCAGCTCTCCCCTGGCCATCTGTTCCCAAAAAACCCTTTCAGAGCCTCATCATCACTCAGCCTGCAACAGCGCGAGCAGCTGGTGTGGAGGCAGCAGGGGAAAGCGTGCAAAAGGCTCTTTGTGAGAGAGGAAACGCGCTTATGAACACAGGGCTGGCCGCCGTAAAAGCTGGCGGCTGGAATTCGGGCTGCCCGGGCGCCGCCGCCACCCGCCCATGGTCCCCTGACTTTTTATCTCTGGTTTGTGTGTATTTTTTCCCCCTCCTTTTGTTTGCTTTTCATATTGTTTCTTCCTTTTCTTAACACCAGCGGTGACCATGTTTTCTCCTCTACGCTGCCTGCCCGAAGGCTACCTAATTAGTTTCCTGAACACTGCTATACTTTTATTTTTTTTTCTCTCTCTCTTCCTCCCTATCTTTGAGCTGTTCACACGAGGGGTGACTGCTTTCCCCAGAGCTGGGGACAGATGAGTGAGAGTGGGCCTGGGGGGTGCACGGAGCGGCTGGAAGGCAGGTCTGCCTTGGTTGGGGTTCCTCACCAAGCAGTCAGCCCTCATCCTGCCCAGGCATGCTCAAGCAAGGTGGGACAAGATCATCACAGAACCCAGAGGGAGCTCAGCCACATTCACCGAGGTGCCCAGCCCCGCAGCTGACTGCAGTATGACACCAAGCCTTTTTAAAGAACCGGCTGCTGCTGTGGCTGCCAAGGCTTCTGGGAGACGTCTGCTTGGAGGCTCTGGGCACCTCCTCGGGGCAGTCACCCAGTGGTCTGTGTGGGAAGGGGAAATGGGGTGGGGGATGTTGATGTGGGCTTCTGGGCTCCAGGGCTGGCAGCTGGGAGGTGGACCCTGGTGAGGGGAAGGAGAGAACAGGCCCTGGCAGCCTTGGCCTCGCTCACACCCTGGGGACCCTTCAGGAGGAGCTGCCAGGCGCTGCCAGGTGTCAGATGTGAATGGGGGCGGGGGTAGCGGGGACACCCTGGACAAGAACAGGGGCCTGGAGTTTCTCCTTTGCTTTCTCAGTCCCCTGCACCCCTTTTCCATTGCTCACTCTCCGCCGCCCCATCCCAGCATCCCCTCACTCCAGCTTAAAAAAAAAAAAGCGCCTGTCAGGGGCACCATGTGGGTGGCCGGCTCCCCCCCTCCCAGCCTGGGACTTGGGGCTTCAGAGGGAGTTTTGCATTTTGCATGTGCTTTATCCAGACCACTGCACTTTATTCCTCTTGCTTGGCTAACTCCCTGCTCCCCCCCACCCCCTGGGCCCAGTCCTCCTGTTGATTCCCAACATCCTCGGGCTACTCAGCCCACTTTCTCCAGGGCTGTCTGCCTGGCCTACTCCCACGTGCACCAGAGGGGCCTTTAGGAGCTGGGTGCCCAGGTGGCCTTGTCCCCTCCCACAGCCTGTGGACTCACCTCGAGGTGCCTTGGGGATTTGCCTGGGGTATGGATGGCTCAAAGGATGAGAACTCTGAAGGCCTCTGCTCTGCCCACACTTCTGCCCCCTGCCCAGGACCTCCTGCCCCTGCAGAAGTCAGTCTTTGTGGGGCTCAAGGAGCCGCAACTGGCTTAGTACTCCCTGGGAATTCTAGGGCACAAGGGGACAGGCAAAGAGAGGACAACCCTGCCTAGCACTCAGTCTTTGTACTTTGCACAGTGAAAGATGTGGGATGGGGGAGGGCAGCAGGTGCCAGGACCCCCCCGTCTGGCCAGGGAGAGGTCACCCCCTTCCTGCTTTTGCTGCTCCTACGCCTGCGAGGAACTATTGTCTTTCTTGAGCTCCCAGGATAAATGCTCCAGATTGCCAGGCAGGGAGCTCGTCCCTCCTTTTGCTGGTTCACTACCCAAATGGCTACCACAGCCAGAGCTGAGCTGATCCGAAGCTGGGAGTTAGGAACCTCTTCCGGGTCTCCCATGTGGGTGCAGAGTCCTAAGGATTTGGGTCATCCTCTGCTGCTTTCCCAGGCCACAAATTGGGAATTGGATAAAAATTAAGCAGCCAGGACTCAAATCAGTGCTCATATGGGATGCTGGCACTCCAGGAGGAGAATAGCCTGATAATGCCACTGCACCGGCCCCACTAGTCCATCCTTTAAGTCTGTCCTGTTTTGCTGCCCAGAATTAGTGGCTGCCTGGGGCCTGTCCCTGTCTTCTTCAGCCCTTGCCAGGCACTCTACAGCTCTGCCTGCCCTCACAGCAGCCCCTGCTCAGGACCCCCCAGGGGCTTCCCGCAGCCAGCAGATGAGGTCAGACTAGCAGGCCACTTGACCGTCTCCCCCATCAGGTGACCTGGCCCCAGTCTGTCACTCCCGTGTCCCAGATTACTCTCCAGCAGTGCAGAGCTCCGGGCTCCCAGGGCCTATTTTTGGCCTATGCACTCATGCCTTCCTTCTGCCTGGAGTGCCCTTCGGCCCATCTGTCTGGCAAACTCACGCTCGTTCTGGACCAAGGCTCGGCTTCTTCTTGACCCCTAGCCCGTGGCTCAGCCACCACCACCACCACCCTGCCCTCTGCCCTTAGAGGAGGGAGTGCGCACTCTAATTCGGGATGGCGTCATGTGATGAACTGCAAAGCATGACATAAAATCCGAGACTGTGCTATCCTCCCTGTGTGATAGATGAGCTGTCGTGACGTGGCACTGCATTATATTTTTAGGTGGGATGTTATGTGAGGGATTGCGTGATGTGATATGACATCTGTCAGACCACATTGCATGGTGCCAGTTGTGTGCCTGCTTCTCGCTGGCCTCTTGTGAGACTTTTCATGTTTGCCTTCCTTATAGCGGGTCCCCGGGATGATGATGTACCAGGCCTTCCACTTTAGTCCGCGCAGGAGGGCTGAATATTACCATGCTTAAGCCAAGGGCTCCAGAAAGGGAACCTGGCCAGGGAAAGGTTCCTCTGGCTCCCCTGGGGTTAGATCTTTTCCTGTTCTATTGAGACAAGGATAAACTTTTTGTTTCAGTTTGTGAAATTGCTCAAAGCAGCAGTTTAAACTATCTTATAGTTTTGCTGGCTGCTGCTTTCCTGCTGCCAGCGCCTCCTTGGGTCTCTGCTTCATGACTGCACAGAGGCTGCCACAGCACTGACCACTACAGCTCGAGCTACATCCAGGGAAGGGAATCATGCTGGGACAGCATTGTTTTTCTCACTAGTGGGGGTCAACCCTGCTCACACTTCCTTTGCCTTAAATGTGAG